GATGAAGATGGATTTTGTATGTTATAAATGTATTATATACTGTATTACAATAAAGAGAGTGAAAATAAAATGTTATTAAGGAAATGATAAGGAAGTGGCCGGGCACGGTGGCTAACACCTGTAATCCTAGCACTTTGGGAGGCTGAGGCCGGGAGACGTTTGAGCCCAGGGGTTCAAGACCAGCCTAGGCAACATAGCGAGACCCCATCTCTAATATTTAAAAAATTTTAAGGCATGAGCCACCACACTAGGCCTGGTCTTCTAGCTTTGTTACTGATGGATTTGTAACCACCCAGAGGTTAGAAATACAGCCCTTTCCCAGAGCTCCGCCAAAGTCCTTGGATTGGTAGCATTTCCAAGACTTTTTAGCTGAGATGCTTATTTGCTAAGAATCTCTGAGGAAAGAGGTGTGCCATGGAGTCAAGTGTCCACTTTGTAGTTAACCAGGCCCTGAATTTTCTGCCTGGTCGCATAGTTCAAAGCACTGCCAATGAAGGGAAAAAAAAAAAAAAAGTTGGAAGAGGACTCTAAGCAAAGTGGTGCATCAGTTAGCCTCCCGTCTCTTAGCCCTGGGCCACCAGAGTCACGGCTTTTCATGCAGAGTTAGGCACCCATTAAATAAAAATTTATTTTTTTATCATTTTTTTTTTAATTGTAGAGGCAGGGTTCACTATGTTGCTCAGTCTAGTTTGAACTCCTGAGCTCAAGTGATCTCCCCGCCTTGCCCTTCTAAACTGCTGGGATTACATGGGTGAGACACTGGCCCAGCCACATTCAGCTTTTATTCTGTTTTTCATAAGAAAACGTTGGATGGGTCGGGCGCGGTGGCTCAAGCCTGTAATCCCAGCACTTTGGGAGGCCGAGATGGGTGGATCACAAGATCAGGAGGATCGAGACCATCCTGGCTAACCCGGTGAAACCTGTCTCTACTAAAAAATACAAAAAAACTAGCCGGGCGAGGTGGCGGGCGCCTAGTGGCGGGCGCCTGTAGTCCAGCTACTCGGGAGGCTGAGGCAGGAGAATGGCGTAAACCCGGGAGGCAGAGCTTGCGTGAGCTGAGATCCGGCCACTGCACTCCAGCCTGGGCC